TTTTTTGCTGAGAATAATAATCCAGTCGAAGGATGCAGATTATGCAGGAGAAAGGCAGTAACTGCTGGAAGGATGAAGGGATGAGATCTAATGTATAGGTGGACACTGGACTCAAATGCAAGTAAGGAAGGACAGATGTGGTAGGAGTCTATGGAAACTATCTTCTGTTGCTTTTATTTCCTTAGTTAAGAGAACAAAATCATCTGCCAGGAATGAGAATTTGGGAGGATGTACAGGTTTGGGGAGAGAGAAGGTAAGAAACGCTTATCTAGGAGAGCAGAGTGAAAGAAGTATGGAGACACAGTATGAATGCTGGCATCTAAAGCCTACTAGAAGTTAATGATCAGGTGCTCAAAGTAAGGTCAGCCAACGGGCCTGTGTATTTTCCCTCAATCAAGTACAGCTGTGGTGCACATACAGCCTAAGAGGACAGTTGGGATTAACCAGAATGTGTTTTAGACAAGCAAGGAAAAAAGAAAAAGGAAACTGAGGATATGTGCCACAGAGTGGTTATAATCACTGAGCAAGGAATTTAAGGTTAGTAAAAGAGGAAGTGAGGAACAGTAAAAATGAAGCAAGATCAAGCTGTCAGCGGTGGAGCAGGGCAGCAAAAGAGCCCAGGCAACAGCAGGCAGCGGGAGACTGGGATCGCTGAGTATGAGGAGTTGTGATGCCCGCCGTTCCAGAGTATGACCACGGGGGTGAGTGGTTGAAGTAGGGTGGAAGACAAGAGGTGAAGAAATGGAGGGCAAGATTTGAAGAATTATCTAGATGGAAATAAGAAGAAACAGCCCATGGATTATTAGATAACTAAAACAAGGAAGAGAAGCGACTGACAGAATATAATAACGTGAGGTTTGAAGGCGAGGGTTTTAGGGAGGAGGGAGAGAGAATGGTTTGGAAGCAATAAGGAACAACAGAAACATTCACCCATCTATCATCAATGTTACAAGGAAAATGGAAGAGAAGAACCATCATCTGAGAAGCCTGTAGGGCAAGCCAAGCTTCAGCTAGATCAGGAAAATAATACGCTCCAAGAATAGGCTGAGATTTTAGGGGATTTAGATGAAACTGTCCTCAGTTTCTGCATCTGTCCACTGGGGATAATCATAATGAGGCGTGTACCTCATAGTACTAATGTGAGGACTATGTTCAAGGACATAAGGAAGGCAATTAGAGAGATCTTAAAATGTGCACCTACCACACAGTCTGCACTAAAAAAATGTTAGTTATTCCTACAGGCTATTTTCTCTCCTGCATAATCATTTTGATTCTTCTAAGAATCTTTTACTTTCACTTAACATTTGAATAATATTAAAAAGTTTTTTTAATTTTTTTTAACATTTATTTATTATTGAGACACAGAGAGACACAGAGCATGAGCAGGGGAGGGGTAGAGAGAGGGGGAAACACAGAATCTGAAGTAGGCTCCAGGCTCTGAGCTGTCAACACAGAGCCCGATGTGGGGTTCGAACTCACAAACTGCGAGATCATGACCCGAGCTGAAGTTGGTCGCTTAACCAACTGAGCAACCCAGGCGCCCCAATATTAAAAAGTTTTAGGGGCGCCTGGGTGGCTCAGTCGGTTAAGCGGCCGACTTCGGCTCAGGTCATTATCTCGCGGTCTGTGAGTTTGAGCCCCGTGTCGGGCTCTGTGCTGACAGCTCAGAGCCTGGAGCCTGTTTCAGATTCTGTGTCTCCTTCTCTCTGACCCTCCTCCGTTCATGCTCTGTCTCTCTCTGTCTCAAAAATAAATAAACGTTAAAAAAATAAAAATAAAAATAAATAAATAAATAAATTAATTAATTAATTAAAAGTTTTAAATCTTCAATAAGACTGTAAACTCTAAGGAGGAGGGATAATATCATGTACTTGTCTGGGTTCTCCACAGAGTTCAAGGCCTGAACAACACTGACAGAAAGCCCAAGCAGCAATTCATGAACTAACACCACCTGTGACCTCTACAGAAGATGTCACTGTACTCTCTCATCTCCGAGATCTGTCTTACACATGTTAAGAGATATCACTAATTGTCTGGGGAAAAAGGGGTATAGGGCAAGGATAAACAGAAATGGGAGATAATAGTGCATATAGATCTCATACCAACCTTAACTGCCACTCTATTTCTTCTCTGTAGCTGTCTCTCTACACATAAGAACATATTTTTTTCTATCTCCTTTCAACAGACTTTGGTGTACAACTTACCAAAGGCTTTCTGAAACATAAATGAGCAGATTTTCTCAAAGAAAAGGATTGAGGGATAGAAAAGGGATTCCAAGTGTTACTAGAAATTAGGTCATATGATAGTTTAAAATCAAGAAACCTTCCCAAGAATGAAGAGATATGAAAGAATGATGTGAGGGGTGCCTGGGGGGCTCAGTTGGTTGAGCGTCTGACTCTTGACTTAGGCTCAGGTCATGATTTCAGCGTTTGTGAAAATGAGCCCCAAGTCAGGCTCTGCACTGACAGCACAGAACCTGCTTGGGATTCTCTCTCCCTAACTCTCTCTCTGTCTCTCTCTCTCTTTCTTTCTCTGCCCTGCCCCGCTCAAATGTGAGCATACACACTCTCTTTCTTTCTCAAAATAAATAAATAAACATAAAAAAAAAAAAGAATGAGGAACACCTGGGTGGCTCAGTCAGTTAAGCATCCGCCTTCGGCTCAGGTCATAATCCCACAGTTCAGGAGTTGGAGCCCTGTGTCAGGCTCTGTGTAGACAGCTCAGAGCCTGGAGCCTGCTTCAGATTCTGCATCTCTCTTTCTCTCTCTCTCTCTCTCTCTCTCTCTCTCTCTCTGCCCTTCCCCCAACTTGCACTCTGTCTCTCTCTCAAAAATAAACATTTAAAAAAAAATGATGTGATACATACAGCTCACATAGTAATTCTAAAACACATTAACCTCCCTACTATACAATCATAGAAACTCTAAATGTATCCAAAACTCAAACATTTTACTTATAAGGAAACTTGCAGAAAATATATTTATCAGTTCTATAAAAAAAAGGAGGACTCTTCTTAGCTTCAGAGAAATCACGAAAAAAAAGAAGATCTATATATTCAATAAATATTTAGTGAGTGCTTGCTATGTGCTAGGCAGTGTTCATGGTACCAGTCACATATTAAAATTCGAGTCAATAAAAAATAGCAAAATTAAAATAAGCAGCACAACCAACTTGGGAAATGTTGCATTGAAACTTTCAAAAGGTTAAAAATGATGACAGAAATTTGCTCAAACTTACAAAAAAATAATCGCGATCATAATAGATAAAAGAGAAAAATAATACCAAACTAGTCCCATAGGAGAAAATAAAAACACATTTCTCATATTTGGAAAACACTCATTTTTGTTAATAATCAAAGGAGTGCCAAATAAAACAATCTGAGGTACTATTTTACATCTAAATTAAAGTAGTAGGCACCACCTATATCAGTGAGACGGTGGCAGAAGAGAGGCCTTTGTAGGGTGTTCTTTCTCCCTGCAGTCTATTCTGTAGAATGCCTCTGGAAAGCAATACACAGAAAAATCCAGGCAATGCTCAAGTCTCCGACCAGAGAGTGCTACTCAGCACTATAACTGAGGAAATAATTTTAGTGGTTCAACAGTGTATGCAAGAAGTTAATACAGCATAATCTAGAATACCAGAGAAATAGCAATACAAAAAGTAGCTTTTATGAATAGACATTTTTCCAAAGAAGACATCCAGATGGCCAACAGACACATGAAAAGATGCTCAATATCATTTATCATCAGGGAAATACAAATCAAAACTACAATGATGTATCACCTCACACCTGTCAGAATGGCTAAAATCAACAACACAAGAAACAAAAGGCATTGGCAAGGATGTGGAGAAAGGGGAGCCCTCTTGCACTGTTGATGGGAATGAGAATGGTGCAGCCACTCTGGAACACAGTATGGAAGTTCCTCAAAAAGTTAAAAATAGGCGCGCCTGGGTGGCTCAGTTGGTTAGGCGCCCGACTTCAGCTCAGGTCATGATGATCTTGAGGTCCATGAATCTGTGCTGACAGCTCAGAGCCTGGAGCCTGCTTCACACTCTTTGTCTCACTTTTGCTCTCTGTTCCTCCCCAGATCACACTCTGTCTCTGTCTCTGTCTCTCTCTCTCTCAAAAATAAACATTAAAAAAAAAAAGTTAAAAATAGGACTACCCTAGAATCCAGCAACCACACTACTAGGTATTTACCCAAAGAATACAAAAATACTAATTCATCTCTCTTCCTCCGCCCCACTTGTACTCTGCCTCTCAAATAAGTGTTAAAAAATTTTTTTTAAAAAAATACTAATTCATAGGGATACATGCACCCCAATGTTTATAGCAGCATTATCTACAATAGCGAAATTATGTGAATGGCCCAAGTGTCCATCAATTGATGAATGGATAAGGAAGATGAGGTGTTTATATACAATGGAATATCACTCAACCATAAAAAAGAATGGAATCTTGCCATTTGCAATGACATGGATGGAGCTAAGTGAAATAAGTCAGTCACAGAAAGACTAAGAAGCATATGAATTCACTTACATTGGAATTTAACATGTGGAATTTAACAAAACAAATGAGCAAATCGTTGTTAAAAAAAAAAAGAGAGAGAGGGAGGCAAACCAAGAAACAGACTCTTAACCATAGAGAACAAACTTATGATTACCAGAGGGTAAGTGGGTGGGGGGATGGGTTAAACAGGTGATACGGATTAAGAAGTACACTTGTTGCAATGAGCTATATGCAAGTGTTGACAAAAAAAGTAGTTTTCAGAAGTCATAATTATGAACATGGAAAAATACTAATGACATAAATGAGACAAACTAATATGTACATATATACTCAGAACTTGAAACAGAATGGAGGAATTGCAGGTAATTTTTATAATGTTCTGTAATGCTGCTAACTTATCTTTTTATTTACAAGATCAGTTTATTTTTATTTAAAATAATCCCATCTTAAAACAGCATTTTGGCAGTATGTTATGAAAGAGAAAACATACCTGATACTCGCCGATCAAATCTGCCAGGAATTGGGACTGCAAAACAAAGAAGAAGCAATGTTCAGGCATCATTATGTCACATGACCCCACCTTTAACAATAGAACTAAAAGCACTTTAATACCAAATGTTGGGTCAATTCATACTCTTCTATAATCAACCACAGAGAGTAGTTCAACATGATCACATAAAGGCAATATAAAGAAGAATTTATCTTTTTGAAAACAAGCTCATTATAACTTCAATGTACTCAAGGTGGCAAATTTATTTGTTTACATTCATGTTCATCTAATTTGTATCATATTGGGGCACCTGGGTGGCTCAGTCGGTTAAGCATCCAACTCTGGATTTCAGCTCAGGCCATGATCTCATGGTTCATGAATTCGAGTCCCACATCTGGCTCCGCACTGGCAGTGTGGAGACGGCTTGGGATTGTCTCTCTCTCCCTCTCTCTCTTTCAAAGTAAATAAGTAAACTTAAAAATTTTCTTAAAAATAATAATTTGTATCATATCAAATGAATAAGAAGCCTACTGGGGCACCTGGGTAGCTCAGTCGGTTAAGCATCTGACTTCAGCTCAGGTCATGATCTCACAGTTCGTCAGTTCAAGCCCCATGTCGGGCTCTGTGCTGACAGATCAGAGCCTGGATCCTGCTTTGGATTCTGTGTCTCCCTCTCTCTCTGTCCCTCCCCTGCTCATGCTCTCTCTCTGTCTCACAAAAATAAATAAAATGTTAAAAATTTTTAAAAGTCTACTAAATTTATTGGTAATGATATTAAAAAGTTAAATTTTCTTCTTTAATATTCTTCAAAGATAATCCCAAGACTGCCAGATAATAGCATTTAAATTTCATTTCAAAACAATTTAATAAGTTTTACACTAAAGTGAAAAAGAAATTAGCTGTTAAGTTATATTCTCACTCAATACGGGTAGGTTTTCTCCTGCCCATGGTCAGTGTATTAATCAGAAAAATGTACCACATGTCTTTAGGTTGAAAAATAAACACAAATTTTCTCTTTGCTAATTTTTCCTGCTTTTTACCTATCATTCCTTATGTTTGGTGGTTATCTAAATTCTCAGTACTAAACTATATCATTTGAATAATGTAGGGTTTTTTGTTTGTTTGTTTTTTAAGATTTTTTTTAAAGGAAACTCCACCCAATGTGGGACTAGAACTCATGACCCCAAGATCAAGAGTCACATGCTTTACCAACCGAGCCAGCCAAGTTCCCCAAGGTGGGTTTTGTTTTTTTTTTTAACTTTCAGAGCTTAATCTGATTATCTTAATTTTAAAAATTATGTAAATATCCCTTCTCACCCTCCATAAAAGGAGAAATTTGAAGATTAGTGAAAAATAAATTGAAGGTGGCTCAGAGAGCCAAACTCAACTAATATGAGGCCTCAACAAAAATAGACTCAGGAAAGAGACAAATGCTTATTCACCACAACAGAACAAGAATTATCTTTTTGTATAGCTTGGGGTAAAAGTTATGTTATTGGAACAAACAGGTAAAATTTCAAAAGAAAACCCAAGCCATTATTGATAGAAAGTACCTATGATAGTCCTTTCCCACTTCCTCAGTGAAACTGTGGATTTGTCAAAATTAATGCACCCACCAGCAAAGAAAGATGGTAAATTCAGTTCAACAGATATAGGTAGGGTACCTAGTACATGACAAGCACTGTTAGTAGACAATTTGGGAGACAGTAGTAGATAAAACAAAGACTCCTGGTTTCATGAAACGTGCACTCTAGCTTGAGATGCGTGGGAGAGTTTCTTTCAATCACTTAAATCACACGTTCCTGTCACTCAAATAGATTAGATGAAATGTGTAAGAGCTTACACTCTCAATCCAGGCCTCATGGGACTTCCATAATTAAAACCCCACTAAACATCAGTATATAACCTAAAATTATAAAACATACAATGAAACAATTTGGCATGGGTGCTATCAGGGAGTATCTCAAAAAAGGATTAGATATTAAAATTATGGAACTACTATAAAATCAGAACAGAATGTTTAAAACAAAGACAAAAATGGGAATCAAAGCATAAATAAAGGAATAAGATACAACCAAAACAAAGCAAAGAGGATTGAAAAAAATTTGGAATTTCTAGGAAAAAAAATAACACATTGAAATTTTTAAAAACTATGATGCAAGGCAACTTCTCTGGGTACATAACATCTAAAAGTGCTGGAAATTGTAAAACATCACTACCAACAACTTACTACAATAATACTGATGTAAATGTACAGATATAAATTGCAAGGAAAATCAGAAAATATCTGGAGATAAATGAAAACAAAAACAATATACTAAAACTTATGGGTGTACTAAAAGTAGTGCCAAGAGGGAAATTTGTAGCTATAAATGCTTATGTTCAAAAAGAAGAGGAGTGCCTGGGTGGCTCAGTCGGTTAAGCGTCCAACTTCAGCTCAGGTCATGATCCCGTGGTTTGTGGGTTCGAGCCCCGCGTCGGGCTCTGTGCTGACAGCTCGGAGCCTGGAGCCTGCTTCAGATTCTGTGTCTCCCTCTCTCTCTGCCCTCCCCCGCTTGCACTGTCTCTCTCTCTCTCCCTCTCAAAAATAAATAAACATTTAAAAAAAATTTTTTTTAAAGAAAAAAAGAAAGAAAAAGAAGAAAAATCTCAAATTAATAAGCTAATTGTATACCTTAAGGAAGTAGGGGAAAAAAGGGCAAACTGAACCCTAAAGCAGCAGGAATAAGGAAATTCAGAGTGGAGAGAAACTAAAATAAAGCATAGGAAAAAAAAATCAGTGAAACTGAAAGTTGATTCTTTGAAAAGATCAACAAAATCAATAAGCTGCTGATTGACTTAGACTAACTAAGAAAAAAGAAGAGTTAAATTACTAAAATTAAAGTGGGGATACTACAATGGAATACACAGAAATAAAAAGGATTATGATACTCTGAAAATAGTATGCCAACAAACTGAATAACCTAGATGAAATAGAGGAAATAGACAAATTTCTAGAAATACACAAACTTCCAAAACTTACACAAAAGGAATAGAAAAATCCCAACAATCTGTAACAAATAGGGGGATGAAACTGGTAATCAAAAATCTCCTGACAGGGGCGCCTGGATGACTCAGTTGGTTGAGGATCAGACTCTTAATTTCGTTTGGCTCAGGTCATGAGTTCATGAGTTCAAGCCCTGTATGGGGCTCGGAGTGTGGAACCTACTTAAGATTCTCTGTCTCTGTCTCTCCCGCCTTCCCTCCCTCCCTCTCCCTCTTTTCCTTCCCCTGCTCACTTGTTCTCCTTCTCTAAAAAAAAAAAAATCCCTGAACAGAGAAAAGCCCAAGACTAGATGTCTTCATTGTACATACTACTAAACATTTAAAGAATTAACATCAACCCGTTATACTCATCCAAAAAAATCAAAGATAAGGGAATACTTCCTAACTCATTTTATTTTTTTCAGTTTTTAAAAAACTTTTCATTTTATTTTTTATTTTATTTTAGATAGAGAAAGAACACACACGTTGGGGAGAGGGTGAGGGAGGGAGGGAGGGAGGGAGGGAGAGAGAGAGAGAGAGAGAGAGAGAATCCTAAGCAGGCTCCAAGCTCAGCACAGAGCCTGACAAAGGGCTCAATCTCACAACCCTGAGATCATGACCTGAGCTGAAATCAAAAGTCAGATGCTCAACCAACTGAGCCACCCAGGTGCCCCCTTAACTCATTTTGTAAGGCCAGCATTACCTTGATACTAAAGACAGACAAAGGCATTGCAAGTAAACAAAATATTCATTATGAATATAGACATAAAAAAATCCTCAAAATCCTCAAAAAAATAGTACCTAGCAACATATTAAAGTGATTATACACCATGACCAAGTGGGATTTATCCCAGGAATGCAAGGGTGGCTCAAAATAAAGAATGTCAAGCAAAATACACCACATTAATAGAATGAAGAGGTGGGGAGGGGCAACTACATCAGCATCTCAATGACGCAGAACAATCATTTGACAAAATGACACTCTTTCATGTAAAAAATAAAGGAGAATATAAGGGAATTTCCTCAACATGAAAAAGGCACATATGAAAAACCCACAGCTAACACCAACTCAATGGTAAAAGACTGAAGGTTTCTCCCTAAGATCAGGAACAAGACAGGATGCCTGCTTTTGCCATTTCTATTCAACATATTACTGAAAGCTCTGGCCATAGCAATTAGGAAATAAAAAGAAATAAAAGGCATCCAAATTAGAAAGGAAAAAGTAAAATTATCTGCTTGTGGAATGACATGATCTTCTATGTAGAAAACCTTGAAGAATCCACACACACAAAAAAAGTTAGACTTAATAAATGAATACAGCAAAGTTGCAGGATATAAAATCAACATGCAAGAGGTGCTTGGGTGACTCAGTTGGTTAAACCTCCCACTGGCTCAGGTCATGATCTCACAGTTCGTGAGTTCAAGGCCCACATCAGGCTCTCTGCTGTCCACACAGAGCCCACTTCAGATCCTCCCTCTCCCTCTCTATCCCTCCCCTGGTCACACATGTGCATGCTCTGTCCCTCTCTCTTTTTTTCTCTCTCCCAAAAATAAATGTTAAGAAAAATCAACACCCAAAATTGTACTTCTATACAACTGCAATGAACAATCCAAAAAGAAAATATCTTTAAAACTCCATTCATAACAGCATCAAAAAGAATAAAATATTTAGGAATGAATTTAACCAAGGAGGTGAGAGATTTGTACACTGAAAACTACAAAACATTACTAAAAGAAATTAAAGGAGACATAAATAAACCTTTTGCATTATATATCAAATCATCATGTTGTACACTTTAAGTATCTTAAAAAAATTTTTTTAACGTTTATTTATTTTTGAGACAGAGAGAGACAGAGCATGAACAGGGGAGGGTCAGAGACAGAGGGAGACACAGAACCCAAAACAGGCTCCAGGCTCTGAGCGGTCAGCACAGAGCCCGACACAGGGCTCGAACCCATGGACCGCAAGGTCATGGCCTGAGCCGAAGTCGGACGCTTAACTGACTGAGCCA